TGTCATCTATATTATGTTTAATACTTTTTTTCATTTAAAATTTAAAATTTGTCTCTATCTCTGTCTTTAAGAAAGACAAAAACATTTCTGTCTATAATTTTGTTTTAAAATTAATATCTTTAGTATTGTTTAGTGTGAGGCTTAGACAAGATTATTGCTGTCACACGATGAGCGCACAAAAATGTTTTACTTAAGTTCCTCAAATTTGACCTAATTATATACAGTGAAGACTTCAACCAGTGAGTGTAATTCACTGTAGAACATTCATTTATATATCTTCCATAACGTTGAGTATCATAGAATATGAGAAAAATGATGATTTCCAACAAGGTTAATATCATATATAATATTATATAATATTATTGTTCTTATCTTCTGAATCACTTTCTTTACAATTTGCTTTCTCCCATTATTGCACAATTCGGTTGCCGTATTCACGATGAAGATTCTTATTACTTTGAATCATCCACGTTTCAGGGAAAAAGGTTCCAGAATTCAGAGTTCCATTTTCTACATTTCAATTCTTAAGAGTTATGGTCAAATTATTCATTGCAAATCTTTATAGAAAGCTTTAAAAGAGATAAAGTTCTTCTCTCTTTAATAAATAAAAACAAAAGCCTTGAAGCACTAGATACATTGTCATTTTCAGATAACCACAACATGTTCTTATTTTTAACATGTAATATGAATAAAAATATTTAATTCTTATCAACAAAAAAAATAGATATTAAGGATTATTTTAAAATTTTATAAAAATAACTTCTCGTATACTGAATATTTTTTTATTTTAAATTTAATCATAATTTAAACTTTAAATTTTTATAATTTATTTTCAATTTAAAATTGTCTATTTAATTTATGTTTATATAAATTAATAAATATTTATTACTATTAATAAAAATATTTACATTTTTAATTTAAAAAAATCAAATTTAAAAATAATCATGAATATTTAATTTTTAGTTCAAAGAATCTATTTTAATTGAATAACACACATCTAGTGTATGAAAATCTTACTGGTTATACTTATTTATTTATTTATTAGTATTAACTAATTATTTAGAATATATTTAAATTATTTATTTAATATAGTACATGACTAATTAATGAATAATGAGTTAGCTTTTATGGGTAGCCCTGTGATGAGTAATAGGCAAGTCAACCAAATGTTTCCCATTAAATAGTAATGCATGTGAAGATAGAAAGTACTTAATTTCTCTCAATCCTTCATATTAGCTACATACTTTCTAATATAATTTTTTTGTAACGATTACCAAATAAAAAAAAAATGGTATGTTGTATTCTTGTGTCTCTATTATATTAATAAGAGTATGTCATTATAAAAAATGTGAGCATGTCATTAAATTTTTTTTAATGTATTTTTTTATACTAATATAAGTCTAAATTTTTTTATATTTGATGTGATTTTTTCATTTAACTTATATCTAAAAGTAGTAAAATAGTAAATTATAATCTATAAGATATAAATTGCTCAAATGTTAATGTCTTCAATATCAAACAATTCTGGGCATTTAATCATTGATTTGAATTGGTTCAATTGGTTTCTGATGGGTTCTCATTAATTTTAAGATTAACCAATATTTTAAGTTTAATAAATCGGATGTTTGACTGGTTTCTACTTTTACTAACCGAAATGACCGATTTCAGTTTTATTTTTAAACAACGCAAATGAGTGAAAAAGAATTTATATATAAAAAAAAGCATGTGCAGACAAATTTTTTTTTTATTTTAAACAGTGATAATTTTTTTTATTACAAAACTCTTGTAACTTTTCAAGAAAAGATAAAAAAAATTATTAAACATATAAAAAATAGTATAATATTAAACAAGTTGATCATTAAAAATTTTATTCTCGAAAATATAATTTATTATAAATTTTTAGTAACTTTTTTTAAAGCCTTTCTTAATTTTTCCGTACTCTTTTCATAAGATTAAAAATTATACGGTCCGCTTTTTTTAACCGATATCTTTAGTGGCATTTTTTTACATGTTCAAATCACATTAAAACTGAGAAAACAAATAAAATAAATAAATATATTAAAGGATTAAAATATAATTTAGCCAACAATTTCTTTTATGCTTTAATGAAGTAATTTGAAATGGAGTAGTTTAATAGCTTATAAACAATACACATGTATTTTATTTTATAAAGTATTCATACAATTTAATAAAATAATTGTATAATTTTTAAATAATTACATATATACAATAAAATTATTTTAAAAAATAATTTTTAAAAACTTAGTTTGACTTAATTCTGTAATTACAAATATTATGTATTAACATATAAAAGATAATTTATTTTAAAATAATGCTTTTATCATATATTATAAAAATTAATAAAATATCAATAATCAAGTTATTGATTTTTTATAAATATAAAAATATGTATTTATAAAAAAATTATATATAAAAATAAAAATAATAAGTTACAATTTTAATATCTAAAATTTAAAACAAAGTTAATAAATACGTAAATAAAAAATAAAATATTGTAGGAAGAGAAACTGTAAATTTATATACGTAATAAATTATAAAGAAAACTAATTTTATAAATATTAAATAGTAACCTCTTACGTGATTAGAGATTGAAATTAAAAATTAGGTGCAGTTAACACAGTATTCTCTTAAAACCTATCCATATCTAATATCTAGCTTGTACGTAAGTGATCGAAGAGAAAACTTGTAAAAGTCAAATTAATTAAGTGGTAAAATCTGTTTACGCATAATAAAGGAGTAATTAAGATACATGCAGATGACCATTATTCAATATCTTGCATATATTGCCTAGCTGCATATTCTATGCTCACATAAGCCAAATTTTGACTTAATATTGAACCAATCTTAATTTAAAAGGAAAATGTACATTTCATGGGTTAACACCCTAGCTTTCACAATACTTAAGAATATCATAATTATTACTAATATTATTTTTCAATTAAAATTTCATATTCTATGCTGAAATTTAATATCAATTTTTATTATATAAATTATCTTAAAATTCTCATTAAAAAAATAACATTAATAATACCTATGACAGGGCATCTAAATTTTTTTTTTATACCTTTTAAACCAAGCTCAATAATTCGTTTTAGTAATGAATGGGATAAAATTGTTGAAATATTTATGTATAATCACGTATTTCTAGTTATTGATTGTGCTATTTTTCATTTTTTGTAAATCAAGCGTAAGAATAGTTTGATCATACATATGAACATTATTTAATATCTTTTTTAAAATATTTACATTGTGATAAAATCTATTAAATTCATTAAATTTGTTTATATTTTTAGAAAAGCAAACCATTGTGACAATAAATTAACTAAGATAGGTCTTGAGGACTTTTCACCTTTTTTCTTCATTTAATGTAACTTCTTTTCTATTGCTTCTTTTTTTATGTCTTGGCACTAGTGACATCTGGTCTATTAAGACTTTCTCTAATTTGTTATTGTATTTCTTAGACTTTTAGTTGAAAAAAAGAGAGAGAATAAAATAGATAATTATGTATAAATATTTTTTTTCTCTCAATTAATTAATATTGATAACTTTAATTCTTAATTTTAGAAAAATCTGACTTTAATTTATGAAATTAGAAAATGACTTTTATTTTTATCATTTTTATAAATAACAATAATAAAAATGAAGCTAGAAAATACTAAAGTGATTGATGTTTATAAAATAAAAGATTAAAATAAATTATATTAACTTAATTTTAAATAACCTTAAGCAACAATTAATATGAAATTTATTTAAAGGTTAATTTTTTTTCTTTAGAGAAAAAAATATTATCAATTTTATTTAAAAAATTATATAATGAATTATTTAATATTTCATTCTCAAAATCTGTTATTGAGATTAATTTCACAATACAGAAGAGTATTAAACATACAATATGAAGAGGGGGGAAAAAACTTATCTTAAGTGTTTTAAGGATCATCTCCTCCCTTGCATGATAAATTAAACTTAATCAAGAATATAAATGAATAAGAATTTTTATTTTTATTTTAACATAATATATATTATATTTTAAATATAAAATTTTTTAAGGAAATAAAACTCAATCACAACACAAATTGTTCCTATAAATTGTAACTTAACTTGTCTTTTAAATTTTGAAAAATTCATATTATTATAATAGAAATTTTCAATTAATGTTGTCTACCTTCTTAAATTAATTTTTATAAATAAAAAACCATTAAAATTATATTTTTAATTTTGTGAACAATAAAAGAATGATATAATGTATATAGAAAATTAGTAATTATTTTGGAAAAATTAAAAGTCAAACATCAAATAAAAACAAATTTAAAATATTAGTGGATCAATTTTGATTTTATTTATCAAAGAAATTAATTATAATCAATATGGATACATATATAATACATGTGGTTTATATTATATTTCTGTCAAATTATATAAATTAATTCAATAAATAAATAACAAAATAAGTTAACAAAAAATCACTCTTGTGGGCGCACAAAAGCTTCGAAAATCTAACAAATGAATGATTGGATAAGAACTAACTAAAAGAGCCGTTTCCTTTATATCACTTTCTCCTTAGAACTTAACGTTTTCTCCGGGAAATCGCTTCAGGGTGACACGTGGACAACCACCACATCATATATATAGGAAAACGTAGACTTGGTCAGTTGCTTCTTCTTCTGTAATATTGATTAGCGATTCAAGATTACAACTTGACCTGAAAGGTTTCTAAGAAATTTCAAATATCATTGGTGAGGGCCAAGAAATTTAACCAAATTCCAAGTGCATTTAATAGTAAAATAGACACAACATGGCAACTTTGAACAACTTTAATGTCATCACAATCACAGAAGAAGAGAGCACACAAGTTCAACAAGATTGGCTTCCACCCACAAACCCCATCAAGGTTTTTTTTCTTTCTTTCACTTATTAGTGTCTTTTTCTTTCTCTTCTTGTGTTGTTTTGCTTGTTTATGTGTCAAAAAAAAAAAAAGGAACAGGCATGTGCTTTTTTTCAATTCTATAGAAATTTTTTTCATAAGCTATAACCATTGCATTTGTTATGCATATGTTGATTGAAATTCTCCATGTTAACTTGGTGGGTTTTTTTGTTGTGCAGGCACAAGATTCAGGCTTTCAAAACTCAACACTGGCGGGGAATATTGTGAGGAAGGTCTTCAAAGTTCTTTTCTACCTTCACCTGCTCCTAATTGCAGTCTTGGTGGCTTCCCTCACCATCTATGGCGTTGTTTATGCCTCTCGCAGCCACCATTTCCACCCAAAGGAGTGGTACCCTCCGCTTCTTATATCAACAGTATGTGCTGGAATTGTTGGTTTCACATGGCAATGGATCACAGTTAGGAACGCCACAAAGGCTATTAGAGCAGCATTTTGGCTGAGTCCCCTGCTTACATGTGTAATGGGTGTTTTTCTTGTGTACATTGGATCTGCACTAAGTCTTGCAGCAGGTGTAGTTGCTTTGGTTTCTGCATTAATTCAATCACTTTATGGTTGTTGGGTCAGTCCTAGATTTGAATATGCCGATAAAATCCTGTCAGTTTCAATAGCTGATCCTCCTTACAAAAGCACGAGGTTGGCATTTTTATCAATCCTCATTGGTATTTTTTATTGCTGTTTTCTTGTGTGTGGAATTGGAGGAGCTAGAGCTATTCAAAACAGAACCAAATTAACTGTTTTGTTTATCTTCGTGATTCTTCTGAGCCTTGGATGGACCATGCAATTTCTGAAGAATGTGTTGCAAGTTACCATTTCAAGGGTCAAGTATATTCATTTAGCTGGTGGAGTAATCATGGACACCAGAGTGGCATTGCATGACACAGTCAAGTACTTAACTGGAAGTGTTTCCATTGGCTCCATCCTTGTTCCCTTTATCTCACTCTTCAGGGGTTTTGCAAGGTCAACAAGTCTGGTTGGAGGAGACAATGATGAATTCTTGTTTTCTTGTGTTAGTTGCTACATGGGAATTGCATCACTTCTTGTGACATGTGGGAACAAATGGGGTTTTGTGCATGTTGGAGTTCATAACAAGGAGTTTGTGCAGGCATCTTCTGATACTTGGGGCATTTTCAACAGGGTTGGTTTGGAACAACTTATAGACTTAGATCTCACTGGCTCGTTTTGTTTCCTTAGTGGGGTGGCAGGGGGTGCAATATGTAGCCTAGTGAGTGGAATTTGGAGCATAGTTATGCACAAGAGCTATGCCACAGAAGAATCCATTTATGCTTTTTTAATTGGGTATTCCATGGTAAGAACTAAGAACTTTGCTCCATTTGACAAGTAGAATACTTTCTCTCACCAATTTTTGTACATATAATTTTGGTAAATGCTAACTAGGTAGCTGCTGGTTAAGGATAAAAGTATAAAGTATGTATTAAAATAACTGGTTAAGTAATTGAAATAAATTTTTATATGTTCTTTAACCAGTTATCTTAGATACTTGTTAGTACGATCGAATATCTTATTTTTTACATGACTTCTGCAGTTTCGGTTAGCTATGGCATGGCCACAAGCATGTGTTTCAGCTTACTACGTGGCCTACGCAGAGAACCCACACAGCACACGATTTGATTCCACCATCCCTGTACGCTTGGAGCAGCTTCAAAGATCTCAAGTATAGAAAACTTAAAAACTAATAATTTTCAGCTGGGAAGAAATGCTGAAGCAACAGAAAATCCAGAAGGGTATATTACCCCCAACGAAAACTTGATGATGCAAATTACAATGTTGGAAACAATTTTGACAGTGTAGATAAAGGTTTAATTTTGATGTGTTGTTCAATTATGATAGAATTGATAATGCGAGTTTCCCTACGGTCTTCCTTTAATTCTATCAGACGACACACGGAACTAATAAGTTGTGTTAATAACTTTGAATCTTTGATAAAGTAGCTCCTAATTATTCTTCAAATTGAAGTACATCGGTTCATATAATGCTTTTGTTTAGTGAAATAAATCAACTATGTCCAAATTTTCTTGTAAACTTTTTATAAGTAATAATAATCTGAATAACCAAAGAATAATTGAAGTCAACACAAGCAACAATAAACATGACAGCCACCATGAGCTCCTTGAAGTCAATATGTCCACATTTCACAATTAATATGACAACCACATATCTATGGGTAGATAGACCTCTGGTTGTCATCATATTTATTGACTAGTAACAACTGGCAAGCAATACCAAACAAAAAATTGAACAAAAGTACAACATAATTCCAAAAGGTGAGATTTTGGGTACCTCTTAAACTCATCCTGCACATTCATTCTACATATATCATTTTGCCAGTACCCCACAATCCACATTGTGACAATTATCATTAAAAAGAATACTCAACATCGTACAATTGGATAATAAACTGTCATGGAATTGCAGTCTTTTTAATCTTGCAACTAGTAAAATGTCACATCTTGACAATATAATTTTGTCACCACCTGTGGAAAAAACGTATTTTAACTCACGTTATACTAATTTGTCTCAAAAGGTTTTTAAAACTGTCTCATTCAAAGTCCTCACAAATGCCTAAGTCCCAGCTTTTTCATCAAACTGTCAATAAATGGGTAAGTCAAGCCAACACCAGTCATTCACAGACTCAAAAGCTTCATCAAAGAACTTCTCCAAGACAATTAACAACAGCGTCTGTTATGACAAATGCAAAATGCAGCGAATGTAGATAAAATACCGGTTGAGTACAAGAGCTTCTGCAGATAAAAAGGCTCCTCAATCGTAATGAATATCTATCAAAGAAACACCATCCCTTATTTTACCTGAATAGAAAATTTATCTAGCTTTTAGCCTAAAACTCTTGGTGACATCTCAATTTTGACAATATACAAAGGTGAATCACAAGTGCAAAAACACCATAATATTTTGCCAATAGACTCCTTTTTCCCCTAATGCAAACCTGAAAGAATTGTAACTGTATTTCCATTATAACACTTTAATAGGTAGCACAACCTATTGGAAGGGACGTGAGAGGCATGTGTTAAAATGTCCCATTTCAATTAGAAACATGGCCACAATACTCGATGCTTGGACAATCGTCCTTGTATGAGTTAGTTTTGAGTGTAAGTTAGACTCAATTTTCTAATAGATTTAACGTGAATAAAATAAAATAAAAACAAAACGCTTCAATCAGAAACATTGAAAAGATCATAGTTTTAGTACAATAGATCTACACAAGGCAAGAGAGAAAGGTTAGAAATTAAGTCAACAAATTTCTCGTAACTTATAATTTATGAAATTTCTCCAATCTGGAATCTAAGTATATAACCAAAATTTTATCGTATAACCATCAACAATATTCTAGATAATACCTTTCTTTAGGAGATACCAAGCTTTGCATAAGCATATATAAATTGGTGAGACATTCTCAAACAAACTAATAATAAAGGTTGTCAAAATTGTGATACTTATATGCTTCAAAACATAAACCCATACAAAATTATGTTGAAGTAGATTACTGAGAAGACCCAATAAGTGTATTTTTTGTTTAAAAGAATATTTTTATTATAAAGATATAAATGTTGATTGAAAATTCACACCCAAATTGCAATATTTCAAATTTGGTCATCAATTGGTTTTGTAAAGGGGTCTTTATCTTTGGACTAGAAGATAAGAATTTTGAATTACCCATGGTTCTTTGAACAACGCATGGCAATAGTCTTCAATATCTATATATCAAACTATAAACAAAACTTCATTAAGATTAATAACATATACTTCACCTTTTTCCAAAGGTTTTTGAGTTTTATAGTTAATTCCATTTTTTTAAAAGCAATTTAATAGTGAGCCTTAGCTTTCATGGCTTACACCACCCTTTATAGTTTTTCAAGAAAACTTTAATTTCTATTTCGACTTAAAATGATAAGTATGCCTTAGTTGAAATCAAGATCTTCTATGACCACTTCCATAAAAGATGTTATGTATATTCTAAGGTTTTTTTTATTATACTACACCTTTTTTTTTATGTTTCTTTCTATTATTACATTCACAATTTATAAGATTTCACTTCCTTTTCAGCTGTTAGGTATTTGGTCTTCCTCCTTAGGAGTGAGTGCAGCACGACCCAGATAATCCACTGAAAATGGGAAGCTTGACTAAAGGTTTTTCAACTACCCTAAAATTTTAAAATATGAAAACTGCATTCTTTATTATCATAAAAGTCATATGAAAACTAAAATTTTAGGATAAAATGTCATTTTCGTATAGGATAAATCTTCATTATAACAAGTTAATAAAAGTCACTTTATAAATGAGTTTGTTATAAACAAATTTTTTGATACGTATAATATTAATAGAAACAACAATACATTTAAAGACAGTAGTAAACCATAATCAAATTTCTAATTTGAGAAGCTGAACATACATTTCATATATCAAGTATAATAATTTACAAACTATTTGTCAGAATATATGATATTTAAATTAATATTTACATAACCAAAATAATTACAACATATATGAAGATTTAAGTCCTAGAGTAGTCTCTAAAAGACATCTCAACTCTGAGAACTCGGTACTAGTCAATTCTATGTCAACTCTCTATCTCTGTCAGATCTTCAGAATCAAGGTCATCGTCTAATCTAAGGTAACATCGCCTGAATCAGTTGTGACCTTTGTGCTAGTCACTCGTTCAAAAGTTCATCTGGTCGGTCTTCTGAGATAATCATGGTCGTGATAGGTAAATAGATAAGTGAGAGCTGCCGGAGTTCTAACGCTACTACTATACATAGAGATACATAGGGTCTAATGTATTTTACTCCTAGAAAAATCAAAAGGGATACTATGAAAGAAATTCATCTCTAACATAACCCAGGTCCTAGGTACATCTTCAACAAGAATAGTAAACTTAAAATAACATAATCTTTGATATTCATTAAATACATAATTAAGTCTATTATATATTGAGCTATCTATTAGTCTAACTCTTTCTTGAGACTCTGTCATCTTGTTTTCCTGAAAATATTAGTAAGGATGAGCGTCTATTCTATCATTTACAAAATATTATATCACAGAATCATAGTTTATAGTATAAATACAATATATTCATTTTCACACTTATTCATATTGCAAACATATTTACATATACATAATTCAACAATTGATGGTACATTATCCATTCTCTCATTCCAATACACTCTTCTAGTGCATTGTGATTACAGATATCAATGTCTCCACTATTTCTTGAGGTCTTACTCAATTAAGTAAATAGTCGCCGGTTAGCCCATGCACACAAATACAACGTATACAATAATTGGACCCTTTAGCAAAGGTATAGTCAGGAAACAAGTGTGAGTCCATGTATTGTATTCGCTCTCCAAAAAAGTGTGTACACATACGCAAATGTCATATATCACCCTACGTTTCCCTCAGATTTTCTATCGTCTCTAGACTCTATACTCCCATTGTATCTCTATAACTATTCACACTAGGTCTAATCTATATTCGACAGTTAAGGTCATTCTTAGAGTTATCATTTTTTCCATTCATAAGATCGTGCTTAGTAAAGCACTTCCAGACTAAATCTATTCTAATCTATTCCACTCATATCCTTATTAATGTGGTTACAATTATCAAATCCTTCATATCAATATCACACTTTATCATATTATTTTCATCCAGACATATTCCATAAAAATCATAACATAATCACTCAGCAAGTTTAATAATATTTCACATTAAGTACTCACCGTATAATATATATAAATATGTAACAACCATTCAGTCCAAACAATCAAACAAGCATATTTTCATCCATTATTCACACAATAGATATTTCAACCACATATTTTTATAAAATATTCATGTAACAGTGCTCTAATAAACACATAATAAATATTATAATATAACGACAAAATAAAGCTTTCCTTACCTTAAAGACGAGTTTACGGAGATATATTGAAAAAGATCAAAGATTAACTATGGAAGTTCTCCTGAATACTAAGAGATATCTATAAGGAACGAAAAATACAAGAAACGATAGGAGAAAACAAAATTTAATCTGGAGAAACTTACTTGGAGTCGTTTAGATTCAAAGTCTAAACTTGAATTTGAAGAGTAATCAAAGTTTCTGAGGCTTTCTCTAGAGAAAAGAAAGAGAAAGTTCAGAGAAAACAGTGGAGGAACATGAGTTTGGAATGAAATGCAATTTCCATGCTGAAAATCTCTTAAATACCTCTCAGCCAGCACGCTCTTGCTTGAGCGACAAACATCTCGCTTGAGCGATGAGCGAGATATGCAGACAATGGTCTCGCCCAACATGTTTTGATATGCTTACTTGAGCGAGCTCTATCTCGCCTGAGCGATATGACGTCCAGAGAGCAGGATGTTTTTCCTATGAGTCCTCATCTGAGCGACTCATCTCGCTTGAGTGAAATCATTCTCGTCTGGACGAGGTGACAGTTAAACTAAATTTATCCTATCTTGCTTGAACAAGAATCATCTCGTTGGAGCGAGATAGTCCTACAACATTATATTTCTGGGCGCTCAGTCTCGCTTAAGTGAGATTTGCCTCACCTGACCGAGATCTCCTGCACCAAAGTTTCTCTAAAAATCCTCCATACTCACTTTTAAATACATTTTAATACTACTTAATATTAAACAAAATATAATTTACTGAATAAAGAAAAAGAAGGTGTTACACCTAACTCACCAAAATTGAACTAATGCCAAGCTAAGGCAGGCTAATCTATTGAACCCATTAAAATTTTAAAAAATAATATATAATTATTTGTTAGTTGCACCCACTTTTACTGAGAATTTTTTAGTGGATAAT